AAATGAACTTGGTAAATAATGAACTTGACTACTTTACAAATTGACAGGTGTTCTACCCAATGTTTTTAAGTGACTCCACTCCAGCACCATATGGCACATTGTGATACTGGTGGACATTAAGTTATCACTACTTCAGGAGACTGTAGCAGTAACAGAACATTCATATTGTCTGGCTATACCTGTTCTGTTAGGAGGGCTGAGTAAATGAAATGTACTGACGTTTAACATATAGTACTGAACTTAAACATACCCAGTCAGACAAAAGGGTCAGAGTGATAGCAAGTCATAATACATCTACAGGCCACATTTCTGCTCATAGCACCGCATAGATTGTGCTGCAAAGTATGTATCACAGGATCCTCTATCCCTACCAGATTCAGGCATGTGGAGTGCACCTGGTAATGTGCGTTGAATGCAAGGGATTTGATCCTCTGCTGAATGAAGGCTCAGTGGCAAAAATCCATGAGCCTTCCGTGTACGTATGCAAGGACAAATACCCTCCAAGAGACAAGAAACAACTAATCTTCTGCAACAAGGACCATCTTTCAAACAAGACTGATGAAACAACAATTACTAGGTCTCAGTGACCAGAGATTTTCTCTCTAAACCATTTGCTCCCCTGTTGTCCATGTACATTAACACATCAAGACAACATACTGCAGATTGCACATGTCAATGTTAAGGTCATGTATATTCACAGAATTAAGATTCCCCCAATTTATACAGCCACATATACAAATGAGGCCTACACTTCAAGCAGACCATTTGAACAATTACATATAGAGTCCAGAGAGTGAATCACACATGAGGCACGATCCACAATGGTACCAAAAGAATATAAAAAAAAAAAAAAAAAAAAAAAAAAAAAAAAACACACACAACACAAACATTAGCTCCCATGTTGTGTATTTAAATACATAGAGACATAACATACTGCAGAAACATGGGATCAGAGTCATAGTGTGTTCATCTAATACCAAACAGTCAGCAATATATATGCAATTGATGCCTATGCCACAAAGCCAACAATTTGCATGATCACATGTCATAGATATAGCCTAGTCTCTGGCTACCAATCCATTAAGTATTTATTCAGTGAAGGAACTCCAGGTGATAGAAGTCTAAGCACACCACTGGCGTGCACAGCAAATACTGAGAACCCAGAATAGGTACAGCTTCAGCTCCTAAGCCCAAGCACAATCCTGTTTGAACCACAGCAGACCCCACTAGGCTGTCACCTCCCCTTGCTGAAAAAAAGTCAAGTGTAATTGATGGTAAACATGAAGTAAGCAGACCCCAGTAGCCCTTGCACAAGTGTAATATGAATGTAGGAAGGAGTTAACAGGTTGCAGCTTCTGCTGATTTCCGAGTCTGCCAGCACTCTGTTCTACAGTTTGACAGGTGTTAGGGCCTCTGCCTCCAAATGAACACACGAATGGTGGACAGGAACACAACGTACATTCACTCTGTGCTTGTAAGAGGCACGCAAACACCCATAGCAACCAACACCGAAAGAGAGGACTTCCTCCTAAAGGGTAACCCCATACTGTGCCTCCCCAGAGGAGAGTTATAGGGGAAAAAAAAAACGCCAACCTACTTACCTTGGAGCCATCTGCCAGATTCATAGCAGCTGTCATGCCAGAATCAGACTGCATGGTATAGCCTTGCTGACCAGATGAAGTATGCTGCAATACTACTGGAAAGATCCAGGTTGGCCTACTGCTCCATCCCCCACCCATTTGCTCTCCCTCCCTGGTCTCTGTGGATGCTGGCACCAGGGTACTCACAAACCCATCATATTGCTGCCGATTCAGAGGGACCTGAGGCATAGCAGTTTGCATTCTGCCAAGGCCTACGCACCATAATTAACCTAGCTCAGTAGATATACATCCCCCCCTCTGGAAGTAGTCAGGGATGGCTCTACTCCAGCCTCACTGATCCCCAGGAAGTTGGAGCCTACCCCAACCATGCAGTTTTCCCTGCAAAAAATTTGGTGAAGCCAGTGGCTATGATCCATCCATAACAATCAGCAGCAAACATTAGGAGCTCAGCCAGCCACCGAGGACTTGGAGCTTGAACAAATGAGAGTAAGGGAGGGCTCCACTAGAGTATTGGCATCCACCGGGATAGCTTCTTCTCCTACGGCAGTGAAGGAACCTTGGGGGAAAAAGGTAATGTGGAGGGAAGGTCCCACAAATAGGATACTTACAGAAGTAGCCTACAAAACCCCAGATATGCGACCCCTCCAAGTCCACTGTCCCTGGAATCATGGGGAAGCAAACTAAGAGGCCCCTGCAACTAGCACAAAGGCCTGACGGAAAAAGAACAAAGCATTCTGATGTTCCTGCTAGGCCAGAGGAAACACAAATACTGGAGGACAGCATGGATTCCTGTCCTATATTCTGGGTTGTATTGAGTTATTATGTTATTCCATTAGTTGCCTTCAGTTCTTCCTTACTGTGGACACTAGCTGACTGTGCTCTTTTTATTTGATTGTGGATGATGTGTTTCCTGTGCTGTCATGGAAGATGAAAAAAGGGGAAAAAAATGGCTTTGGATAAACTTTAAAAGCATTACTATATAAAATTATAGTTAGCTATTAAAACCTTTTGAAATATCAGCCATACATGGAGTGTTTTTTTCAGTGAGTTTACCAATTCACAGATTGGCTTTGAGAAGGGGCAGTAAAGCACAACCCATGTTAATCATTGCAAAGCAGGAAGCAGAGTCTGTGTTTGGATGAGAATAAGGCTGCACCCATAATTACAAATTATATATATATATATTTTTTTTTTAAAACATTAACACACATTCATTCCTAAGTGTTAACTGTTTTTATATGAAGCTGATCTTTTACATGTAAATATAAAAATACAATAAAATACATGGAAAAGACTATGCATTTCCTTTAATACTTTCAGTCACAAACCTGGAACAAGAATGCTGCAATGCTCAGCGCATTGAGGACTTGTTTCAGATCACTGACTCAAGGCTTTGAAGCCAACAGGAAAACATGACAGCCAGGTAACCAGCATTTTAAAAGGGTTATGCAATGATAGCCTCCATATTTCTATCATTGCAGGTTTTCTTTATCGACAAATTCCCTTTAAAAATTTGTTACATTTGAGCAGCTGTCTCTTACAAGAGTTGAAAGAAACAGTTCTACTTTACTTGATTTCTGACCATACCACACAGGCAAGCAGACCAACAAATCACTCATTTGGATGTTTAGGGATGCACCAACCTTTTTTGATCTGCGAGTACCTATACTTTTTTGGTAAAGTACTCGCCAATACAGAGTACAGATACTTTGCGGTGCGATTTGCATCCATACAAAATTTATGGACGCAAATTGCCCAATCTGCAAGGAGAGGAGAGAAAGCCGCTGGGATTTCAAATCCTCATGGCTTTCACTTCTCTCCTACAGCTGAGAAACGAGAGCATCTGCCTTCATCTCCCACTAAGGTATACATCCCCATACGCCTTTCTCTCCCACTCTCTGCTGCGGGAAACCTCTCTGCACCGCTCCTGTGTGAACTCATGAGCCCGTGAACTACAAGCCTGGGTTCATACAGCAGCAGTGGGAAAACCGCATGTGATTTGGACAAGAATTGCATTCCTGTTCAAATTGCATGCTATTCTTTGTGGTGCAATTTGCATTTAATATTGACGCCAATCGCACCACAAAGTATCGGTTTCCAGTATAACAACATTTTCACGAGTACTTGTGAAAATACTCAGTATTGGCCCTGATACCAGTATCACTGCATCTCTAGATATGTTTAATACTGGCTTTACCCAGTGCACTCTAGGCAAGGTCAAATGTGAACCTTGTAGGAGGCTATAGAGCAGACATCTCCAACCACTGTCAGAATGGACATAAACAAGTCACATGAACTAAAACAGAGCACTCGACAAAAACCTCTGTTTAGACTCAAGTTGAACGGTTTAATGAATTATGTAAATCAGGCAACCACCTCTTGGTTTCATGCTTACAGGAAATGTATAATGCAGTGGGTATTTAGATGTACGGGAACGGAGCACCCGATGAGACGCTGCCGCCAGCAACATCAAAAGGCAGCCAAGAGCCCCATGTGACTTACAAGCCACTGGATGGGGACCGCTGCTCCAGAGCTTTGTCAGTTCACCAGATACTACAGAAATCATCCTTAAAGAGTAACCGCTCCAACAAATACGTATACCTTTCTCTTATTTTTTCACACAAACAATAATAAAAAAACAAAGATCACTAGTGTTAAAAGGGTTATTTGTAGTCCTTAATTGAAATCTTGTTCAAAGTGCAACAGGAATTGCTTCAAGCCCTCCAGCTGTCATCTTTCTGTAGGCACCGTGGCGAGCGTAGCTGCAGTAGAGTGAGACATCCTGCCGAGCACGCCAGTTATTAAAGCACACGTTCTTGAGTGCTTCACCATCCATGTTCAACAGGGTGTGAGGGTAAGTCCAAAAAAAGAAAAAAAGAAAGAAAAAAAAAAAAAAAAAAAAAAAGCGCAGCATTATCCAAAAAAGTTGCCGGAATTCACAGCATTATCCACCCCATATGTATTAGGTTTAATTTTATATTTTTTAAAAAATAAATAAAAAATAAAAAAGGTGGGTATTCATGCAATAAAAATGGTTCAGTTCTTTCAGTAATTTGTTTTCCTTTCAGGGAAAGGGAAAGTAGGGGGGAAGTTAAGAAGAAAAAAAAAAAAAAATGTTGTAGCTCTTATAATATTCCATCAGTCTGTCTTCCATCAATTGACTGATCATTGAACAGCGTGCATTTGAGTGCATTGGCCCCAGTCCTGACATGCAGAGGAGGGCCACTGGCAAGACAGGCATTGTATACCCAGTGAAGGCCTCTTTCTTTCTCTTTTGGTCCGTCAGTTTAAATGTTCCTCGGTGCGCCATAGGCTGTACTGGCTTCAGTTCCTTCCGACTGCCATGATATTGTGGACGCTACCGTCATACCCCACCCTGTCAGTTTGCTCGTTGTTGTCTCACTGAAGCTTTGTACCAAGTTTACGTTGTCTGTTTCTGGAAGGGTGACAAATAGGAAAACAAAACAGTCACTATGGGAACAGCAAAGTAATTGTGTTGATCCTAACAAACAACTTACATAATATGGCCAAAAGTTTGTGGACACGTGACCATCAAAACTATTCGAGCTTGGTGGACATCCCATTGCAAAACCATGGACATTTATATGGCGTTTCCCCCCACACCTCTCCATGGCTTTAGCAAACTCAACTCTTCAGATTTTGGAATTTGAGGTAATTTGTGCCCACTCAGCCAAAGAGAGGAGGAACTAGTGGTGGACAAGAAAATCTGGTTCACAGTCAGTGTTTTAATTCATATCCATGACATTCAATAAGGCTGAAGTCAGCAGTCAGGCTTTCCAAATTCCTCCGCACCCAAATGATCAAAATATGTCTTTATGGACCTGGCTTTGTGCACAGCTGGAACGCAAAGAGGCCTTCCCAAAACTGTTTTCACAAGATTGGTAGTGCACAAATAGTCGAATAGTCACAATAGTATGTTGTAGCATTAACAGTAAAAAAAAAACTGATGAAGTTGGAGGGGTATCCACATACTTTTGGTTAGATTGTTTATAACTATCATCTTCCGATCTGTAATTCCAAATGACAGCTGAAGCCTGACTCATCTCTACAGGCAACAAAAATATGCATACATGTCATGATTTTGTGCAAGTGGCACAATGCTGATAAATCTAAAGATTGCACTGATTGTAACATGTGTGGCCAGGTATGGGCCAAATAGATCTTTGTAATATTCCCAAATTAATTTCCACATGGTCTTTCAAAAGAAAATTAAAAAAAAAAAAAAAAAAAACACACACACACTGTGTTTGGATACAATAACAAAAAACTGACAGAAGTCCACAATCTTCCCCGCTATCTAAAGTACAAAAAAAATTTAGATGAAATATAATGAAATACATTCTAGAGTGTAGGTCATTTGCAATTTCCAAGAGACTAATGCGCACGTGTAGAGTGTGTGCATCTTTAGTGTAGTCCCTTTCTCTTGTTATCGTGTCACTACTGAAATGAAAAATGGTTTACGCATTGTTGTACACTCCTTTTTTTCTGTAAGCAGGGTTTAGATTAGATAAAAATTCTTTATGAAGCAAGTTTAAAACGATTAACCAGTAGTGATCTATTTTGCAAATTTATTTCTGTGTGGGACTATTAAAAAAGATAAAAGAAACCTATTTACCTGGCTTCTGATCGAGTGACTGTGTACTCAAACCACAAGATATTTGGGGATCAAACTGGTGTCACGGATAAGGAAGAATTCTGAGATCGGCCTGTGGATATCAAAATATAAAAAATTAATATGTACTGTATGGCTATTGTACATTTTCTAATAAATCAATCCTGTTTTGGGAAAAAAAAAATAAAATATATGAATACATGTAACCAATTTAAAGCGAATCTTTGCTTTGCCCATGCAGAGCAAAGCAACAGGTTCACATTAAGGCTCCATGTACAGGGGACACTTCTGCATGAGGGAAACTGACTGCTGGAAAACGTAGATTAAAAAAAAATGTCTGTTTAGCCGCGTTTATGTTTAGAAGTGTTTTTTTTAAGATAACCTCAGGAGACCTTCCAAAATGCCAAGAAAGCACTGAAAAACAGTAAAAAAAATAACTATTTCAGACATTTTGAGAGAAATAGAGAGAAGCAGGGAGAGTAGTATTTGTTGAGATTAGCTGTCTTTTTTTTTTTTTTGTGGTGTTTGGATGTGTTCCAGCTTATTTCTGTGCAGAAATTATTGCAGCAGTCTCTAACATTTTTTTCATGCAAAACCTCAAAGTATGGTGTACGAGGTCCATTTGAGTACCGGGAAAATGCTTTGCATTCATTTTTCTTGATGAAAAAAGGCTCTGGACAGCATCTGGAAATAGAAAAGTAAAAAAAAAAAAAAATCTTTCAAACGCAAACGTCTATAAACACAGTTAGCCGCGTTTACAAGCATTTTGCGTTTGAAACGCTGATAAAATCTACTGCTGAACTCAAGTTTTCTGCGTTAAAAAAAAGACTAAACTCAACTGCCTGTAAACGATGATGTGTGCATGGACACATAGAAAAACATTAGGGAGAGTTCAGGGGCTGCTGAAAAAACCGCTGAACAGCTCCTAAACGTGAGTTTATCAGCTGCAGTGTACATGAGCCCTAACAGAGGCCCCACCGGCAGTAAATGCTAACCTTATCTGTGCTTCCCATGGGGACAAAGAGGATTACCTGGTACTTTCAGGTATGAAGGAACATGTGACTAGCTCTCCTCCCTCCCATGTGACAAGTATAGTGCTTCGACACAGGGAACAGGGAAAGAGAAGACAAGCATGTGCAGCTGGTGGGACCATCATTAAAGAGAACCTTTTACTATGGCCTGTATAGGTAAAAGCACAACCACATGAAAAATAAATAAATAAAATCGAGTGAACATATCAATGATTTTTACAGACCACCACATGACAATATGGTGTCTCAATGATTTCTCGTGCAGTTTTAGCCAGAGCTGTACTACTACCACCAGAGTCTAGTACTGAGGACACTTTAAAGCAACCCTGTCCTGCATTTAAAAATCTCCAAAAATTCATACCCTGTAAAAGAAGAGTATGTACACGCCTTGCTGGATTGCCCACGCCACTGAATGCTGCCCACACTCCAGAGGAATGATCTTCTCAATTCCGCTGCAAAATTGACTCTAATAGTGTTGATTTTCTAGGTCCCCTGCAGTTCTCACTGGTTCCTCCCTATGACTTACATTATTACAGGATAGAGCGGTGACAAGAAGGTCAGCAGGAGGAACCAGTAAGAGCTGTCGAGGACCCAGGAGATTGATACTCCTAGGCAGTTTCCCAGTGGACTCTGAGTACTCATTTTTATATGGAACAAAGCAGTGTTTGGCAACACAGGCCACAGGAAAGGCAAGAATATTCTTTTGCAGTAGATGCTTTTGTGAAGTTTAAAATAGAAAACACGGTCTGTTGAAACAATGTCCTTTTAACTCAACTCCAGCTTCAATTTTTTTTTTTTTTTTTTTTTTTTTTTTTAAGAGACTGGAAGGGTTAAACCCTTTTCAACTTCTAGTGCCATCTGTTTTGACTTTTGAGAGATTTCACCTCAACTGATGTTTGAGAGAACATGCATAAAATCATCAAATGGGAACACACAGCAGAGTCATGAAGGCCATACATGGGTCGAATTCCAAAATAATTTTTTATTCAAAAATCGTAACTAAAATTTTCATTCGAATTTCGCACCATTAGTGGACCATGGTATCGGCCGATTTTCACGTGACCATTGAATTTGAGTGAACGGGTATGTTGGAAATTTTTTCGAAAAACAAACAAATTTCTAATCGATGATGGGAGAATCATGCGAGAAGTATAATCAAAAAAGAAATGAGAATGAGCTGTGACCTGGAGAAAAAAAAAAAGAAGATTCACAGCCACAAAAATTATTTTTTTTAGCAACATGTGGTGAAATTGAAGGCTTGGCAGGCAGAATTTCCAAATCAATGGTGGCACCATAGGATAGCAAAAACGCATGAAATTTCTGATTTTCTAAAGAAAATTTGTTCAGAATATCAACCTGTGTATTGCCTGCATAAGAAAGGTTTAGGATCAGAATTGTAATGTTGTCCATGATTCCATGTGGGAGGTCTACCTCACTTTCTGCACAGATGTCAGGCAGAACAGAACTTGTCCTCTATATAGATACAGACAAGATGGACCAAGACATGTCATGACTTACTACTATGACCTACTCTAAAGTTGAAGATGTCAAGACCTGTATTATGGTACATGTCTGGGAAGCGTGGAGCTCCCTGCACATACAGAATGAAAGTTATTGTTACAAATGTATGTGCAAGTACCTTGCGGTACCTACTGTTACTCTCAGTAAAGTTAAAGTGGACTTGATCTCATAAAGTAAAGCTTTGCTTTGTTATATTAAAACACACTTAGAAATGTTAAAGTGGTTCTAAAGGCTAAATATTTTTTCCTTAATGCATTTTCTGCATTAAAGCGGTAGTAAATTGCAAGAAAAAAAAAAAAAAAAAATCGAGAAAAAATAAAATCTTCTCCCTGCAAGCTAAGAGCATAATGTGCTAGTATACATCGCATACTAGCACACTATGAATGACTTAACTGAAAACGAAGCCCTCCAGCAGAGAGCTGTCATGGCTCCCCAAGGCTTCCGTCTTCACCCGGTCTTCCTTCCAAGTTCAAAAGTTACGGCCATCTGATTTTCCTTGCCGCAATGTCATCACTCCTGTGCATGCGCGATAGGAGTTGAAAGTGCGGTGCGCATGCGCTGGTGACATAACTGGGGTTTCTAGAGTATAGATCTCCTATACGGCACATGTTTAGGAGATATTTACAGTACCTACAGGTAAGCCTTATTAAAGGCTTACCTGTAGGTAAAATATGAAAAAAGGAGTTTACTTACACTTTAAGGTAAAAAATGTCCCAGCAATTGTATGGCCCCCCCATCGCCTTAAATACTTACTCGAGTCCTATCGCAATCCGGTGCTGTGCCCATCTGAAGCAGTGATTGTCTATGTTCCATTAGCTCTTGCTGCTGTCATTCAAATCCTGTAAGGAGGAAGTGGGAGCAGGGATGCACTGTGTGTGACTATGGACACACACAGCCTGGCTCAGGAGAAAGCCCACAGGAGTGCCATCATATCAAGCGCCTTGCTTTGGTGCCACACACATACGAGGAGCAGCCTAAAGCGCTGAGGAGGTACCCCCGGAAGAGGAAGCTCAGGGCCACTCTGTACAATATCATTGCACAGAGCAGGTAAGTAGAACATGTTTGTTATTTTACAAATAACAAAAAAATTGCCTTTACAACCTCTTTAATGGAGCCTAAGCAGTGCCCTGAAAAATGTAACTTTTTGTGTTAAATTCGCCCTGAAAAAGCATTGCATTTCCTGGTATATGAGGTATCTAGGCACACCAGTGTATGCAGCCTAAAATCTGTATAACTGCAGTGTGAGAGGCTCTTCTGCTTCTATTCTCACCAGACTTGGTGAGGTCACTACTGTGCTGCTAGCAAATTCCTTTAAAATTCTTTAAAAACACAGTGTACTTGCACTGAAAAAAAAAAACTTCTGACAGTACAGTAGGGCAATACTACTTTCCTCTGCAACAAGAATGAGAGTCTTCAGTGGAGATTAAAACAAAAGCTTCAGAATAACTTCTAATGTAAAATGCACTAAACCAACTTTCTCCATTTATCTGAAATGATGTTATTGCACTTTACAAATAGGAGTGCTTCAATACAGAATTCATCAAAGTATAGACATATTTTCAAGTCTTTGCTATTGAACATAGCTTACCAGGCTGCGATTCTTGGGAACAGCGGTGTTAGGATCTCCTGTGTGAAAACAAACCAGGCTATAGCCAAGATGCTTCCAGCCACAGCTCCATATGCAACTTGACTCCAGCTGTGATACACGAGATACACTCTGCAAGGGAAGCACATTTGTTAGAATGCAGTACAGTGTGCTTGACAGAACATATGACAGCATCTGTGCTCTTTTGTCAGGGATGTGCAAATCATATTACCCGACGCCCAGGACATGCAGTTCTGGGCGCCGGGCAGGTAGTTTTCTTTTTTCCATTTAGCGAAGCAGGGGTTTCTTTATTTTCAGATGGAAATTCTGTTTTTACTAAATGCGATCCAAGCGGCTGATTAGCTGCTGGATCACTTTTAGAAGCAGCGGGAGGCGTCGGCAACATAGTCTGGCTCCTCCTACTCTCCTCCCCCAGGTGACATCCCGAAAGTCTGGACAGCCAGCCAAAGCCTACAGAGGGCAGGAGGGCCTGAGGAGAGGACATGGAACAAAGGAAGGCCAGGGCCTTGTGGGGAGCCCAGTGGGAGGAGAGCAACACCCCCCCCCCCCTACCCCCAGCTGGCCACCCCTTCCCTGTGAGTCCTCCTCACCCTCCCTGTATATAATCATTAAGGCTGCACACTTCCATATTTACACCTCACCCCTTCCCTGTATAGAGATATGTGAGCACTGATACATATCACCCCACCAATCCCCACTGTCCATGTATCCTTTATGTACTCACCACACCCCCTTCACTGCCATGTAGATACCCCCCCCCCCTTCATATATAGCCCCCTACTTATTTCAATAAACTAATACATATAACTCCCTCAACAGTCTTTTGTTGCCCTGGTTTTCCAGGGATGCGTGAATCCTATCCCCCCAACGCACGGGATATGCAGTTCTGGGTGCCAGATAGGTAGGGGTTTTTTTTCTATGTAGCCCTGCCCTGCTGGGAGTAAGCAGCAGGGTTTTGTTTTTTCAACTGGTGATTCTCTTTTCACTAAAAGTGATCCAAGCATCTTATTATCCACTGGATTGCTTTTAGAAGTGGTCGTAGGGGTCATCCCCTCCCCCTCCCGCAGCTCAACAGTGTCTCTCAGGCTTACGGTTCTCACCAGCGAGCCCAGGAAACAATCCGGTGGTTCGCGCTGCTGCCCATAGAGGTGAGGAGAGAACAGATGGTCTCTGATCACCTCTATGATCTAGGAGGCCAGCAGAGACATCATAACGTCACTTGTGGTTTAGGGCGGATGTAAACTATTTTTTTTTGGAAAGCATCAGATCAATCTTGTTTTTTTTTATCTGATGCTTTCCATGGTAGAAAGAGATTTCAGGTCTTATAGACCTCAGATTTCTTCATAAACAGGACCTGTCATGCTTTATTGTTATCACAAGGAATGTTTATATTTCTTATGATAGAAATAAAAGTGATAAAAAAAAAAAAATAAAGGGACAGCTTACACAGGCAAACGCATTCATAGGTTATGTATGCATATGTAAATGGTGTTTGTACCACACGTGAGATATCGCTGCAAATAGTGAGACCTCCTCTGTAACTGTAAACTGGTAACCTGTAAAATTTTTTAAAGTATCGCCCAAGGAGATTATTAAGTATTGTAGTTTGTTGCCATTCGACAAGTGTGCGCAATTTTAACTGCCTCCCGCCCGCCATATAGTAAAATGACAGACGCAAGGCGGATCTCTCGTTCTGGGAGGACATCATATGACGTCCTCTCAATCTAACCGCAGATGCGCAGCTCCGGGAACATGCAGAGCGGCGATCGGCGGTGCACTGTGTCCCTCGGACACAGCGGATCACCGATCAACGGAAAGAGCCGAAGATGTCGGCTCGGTCATGTAATCAGTTGTGTCCAATCACAGCTGATCACATGTAAACAGGGAAATGCCGATTATCGGCATTTCTCTCCCCACGAGCTGTCACGCTGACAGCTCGTGAGGAGAGGAGAGCCGGTAATCGGCATTCCCCGGAGGGGACATGTACACAAATCATCAGTGCTCTGCCTTTGATGATCTGTGTAGCCCCATTAGTGCCCCCTGCCAGTGCCCATCAGTGCCAGCTTTCAGTGCTCATCCATGCCCCCTGCCCATCAGTGTGTGTGTGTGTGTGTTCATGTTCTTAAAGTGGACCCGGAGCTTGATTTAGCTGTTCAGCATGCGCTTGTACTGAGCACCTAAGTACTTCCATGTGCGAGGATAACTTGAAGAAATACTTTTTTTTTTCCCTCATTGGGATCAGTGCCTCATTTACTAGCTCAGCAAATGCAAGTCTGCTGGGCGTTAGGAGAGCTTAACACTCCTTTCCCTGATGAGCACCCAAATCAATGCTTGTCACACTGCAAGATCTCTCCCCTCCTGGGTGTGGTGCTGGAGACAGACAGGAAAGGGAGTAGGAGACAAACACCGCAATGTTAAAAAACATTAAAAAAGTTTAAGTCATCATAAAGCCCCTTTTGTTTTTTTAAAAGGCCAAGATGTTCCTAAAAGCACCTCTGCTTAATAAAAAAAAACATCAACACTTCATATTTTCCATCCTGGACAATTTTTTTTATTTTTTTTTAATCATTTTTTTGTCATGATGGACAAGTAAATTGGGACCCCCGACTTAGGAAAGTAGTTTTTTTAAAACATTTCCACACCCGACTGTGCTTACCTACTATATGACACAAGACATGCTGCTGTCAGGAGACACAAGGACAGCACGTGGCGCCAGAGCAGGTCCAAGAACCGAGCGTTGTTGGTCTGGTGCATTCTGAGAAGACAGCAACATGAGAGGAAGTTCAGAAATACCAAGCCAATTTAAAGCTGATCTTAAATATATACTAAAGCTGCCCATAGTTGGATCAAAATTTAGCCAGTCTGTGCTGAACCAGCCAAATTATGATCCATGTATTGCCTTTCCCTTTCAACAGAAGTTGGACGTTTGATCAATTTCTGTCGAACAGGAATGTTGGAAAATGTTACTTGATCAGCAACTGCTGATCAGTGTATTCTGACAGCAGAAGAATCACGCTGTCAAAATAAAATGTCCCAGTGGGGAGGATTCCTTCATTCAACTCAATTGTGTGGATGGAAGAATCCATTTGTTGTTTAGAAAAAAAAAAAAACAAACAAAAACCTAATCATCTATGGACACCTTTACATTGGTCCTGTTTGCACCAATGCAAGTATGCACATCCCATACCTGAGGGAACACTGTGGAAGCTGACAAGCACGGTAGTAGTCAGCACTTCTAAAGGGATTGCTGATTTTTTAATGTATACAAGGCATTCTCTGATTGGACAAATGGAGATAGTGACATCACAGCTCCTCCTCATCGCCTTCTTGAATCAGAGTATGCGAGGTGTGACAGAGCAAAGCCAATGAACCTCTGTGATCAGTGTGCAGCCGCTCTGCACAGAACCCAGCGATGACTACTACAGTGAATGTCAGCTTCCACAGTGGCCCCTCACATATGAGATATACATACTTACATTGGTCCATGCTGGACTAACATAAATAAGCAAATATGCAATTAATATTTTTTTCTTTATGAAGAACTGCTATTCTATAGGAAATGTAGAAAAGTATATGTGACTGTGCCCAGGTTCTATAATTTGGTTGCTTCATAGCTGTAGATCTGCAGTGTGAGATCTCTAAGGCTCTAGTGTCTCTGATTTCTATTCTTATGAGATTTGATGATGTCACTGCTGTGCACCTATCTGTACTCCTTGCTGGAGAGGAAGTTGTACTTGAGGACCTGTAGTGCAGGAATATTCCTGCTTCTGCTTAATTTAGTCTATGAATGTGTGCTGCCTCCAGTGAGCTAAGGAAGGTATGCTAAAGCACTAAAGGGGTCTTTCTTTACACCAAGAAGGGCTATTGTTTCTTTAAGAAGTTGTATTTTTTAGCATCAATAGCACACACTACATTTCCCCTTAAAAACAATATACTACCTTTTATTTATAGTAGTGTTAACTTTTAACAATCCAACTCACCTTAAATAAAGGAAGAGGAATGAATATACAGAGAAAAACCACATGAACTGAGAATGACTGGAGGGTAACCCATACTCTGTTGTGACTGTTGTGTGTGTCCCTGTCAAATTAAGGGCAGAGATTACGAAGTGAAAAAACAGCATCTTCTATAAATCAAATTCAATAAGCCTTTTTTGCACGGGTGAACCTGAGGCAGTAAGCCTTCATCATGTGAGTTAATACTCACCTTCACAAGGACGTGGCTCTCTCACTATATTCTTTATTAACCAGTTTACACCTTCATTCGTTACCAAGCCCCCCAGAAAGGAAATCTGCATGCAAAAAGGTACAAAGAGATGTCATGATCTGGCAGAGCAGGGTGACAGCAAAGTCAACCAGTAATGACATGTGATCTGACCGTGTGAAGTTCTCTCTTGAATATGATTAGCGTCACAAAACTGACGAGAATGAAGACTGGCGATAGGCTGAGGTAGGCCAACAGCTGCCCATAGACGTCCCCTGTAGGAGAGACAGAGAGCAGAAGATAGATGCTTTAGACTACACCATTATCCAACACAATGAGGTTCATTACTGTTTTTTTTTTTTTTTCTCATTCTTTAATGCCAGAAACCAATACAGGATTGAGGCAGCGTACAGAACAAAGACATACCACAGATCATCATAATAGAACATATACATTAGACAAAAGGAGTTGGAGGTAATTTGGCTTAATTTTTTTTATATAAAACAACTGAAGTAATGAACATTTCTGAAAAAAGTGCAGTTGTCCATGGCAACCAGATCTTTGTTACAAATGACTGGTTATTGCTGGCAACAGCTCCACTTGCTCTTTAACCCATTAGTGACTGAGGGTGTTTTACATTGTTTTTAAATGTTAATGCCTAAACACAATTTTGCAACTTTGACATGTGTCAGTAAAACTGTACATATCATCCCAACTACATTGCGTATCCAGGTGGATTATACCTAATTTTTTCAGAACAAATTGGGCTTTCATTTAGTGGTAAATGGTAATGGATATCTGTTTTTATTTTTTAAATATCAAAAGGAAAACTGGCCCAAAATATTAAAATATATGGATGTGGACACTAGTTTTTTTTTTCACCGTCACTTTAAATTTTTTTTTTTTTGCTGTCGCAATCATTGTCAACATCCCTTTTGACAGCACTAGGCATGTAACAGGTACTCTTTATGGAGAGATATGGGGTCAATAAGACACCAAATCCCTCATCTGCCCCTTAAAGCATTTGATCACACCAAAAATCCTTTCCTGCTAGCTAGCTGCCTGGATTGCTTTTACAACGGAGCCGACATTCAGATCTAAAGAATGGTACTAGGATGATGCCTGCAAATAATAAAGTATACAGATCTTTCTTACACAGGTTTTTCAGTCTAGGTGTTAGGAGAGGGGAGGGAGTTCTTTTAAGATTAGTTAGCTTTATCCTGGAATTATATCTTAAAGGGGAATATGGAAACAGAACCAGATTTCAGGTTGCTAGACTTGTGGTATGTGTGTGTGTGTATATATATATACAGTCATGGCCGAAATTGTTGGCACCCTTGATATTTTTCCTGAAAATCAAGTTCACACAAAAAAGGTATTGCATTAACACATGTTTTGCTATACACATGTTTATTCCCTTTGTTATGTATTGGAAACAAATATAAAACAGAGGCAGAAAAGCAAATATGACATAATGTCACACAAAACCCCAAAAATGGGCTGGACAAAAGTATTGGCACCCTTAACTTAATATTTGGTTGCACACCCTTTGGAAAACATAACTGAAATCAGTCGCTTCCTATAACCATCAATAAGCTTCTGACACCTCTCACCCGGAATTTTGGACCACTCTTCCTTTGCAAACAGCTCCAGGTCTCTCTTATTGGAAGGACAAAACCTTTTCCCAACAGCAATTTTAAGATCTCTCCACAGGTGTTCAATGGGATTTAGATCTGGGCTCATTGCTGGCCACTTCAGAACTCTCCAGCGCTTCTTTGCCATCCATTTCTGAGTGCTTTTTGACGTATGTTTGGGGTCATTGTCCTGCTGGAAGACCCAGGATCTTGGACGCAAACCCAGCTTTCTGACACTGGGCCCTACAGTGCGACCCAAAATCCTTTGGTAATCCTCAGATTTCATGATGCCTTGCACACAGTCAAGGCACCCAGTGCCAGAGGCAGCAAAACAAACCCCAAAACATCATTGAACCTCCACCATATTTTACCGTAGGTACTGTGTTTTGTTCTTTGTAGGCCTCATTCCGTTTTCGGTAAACAGTAGAATGATGTGCTTTACCGAAAAGCTCTATCTTGGTCTCATCTGTCCACAAGATGTTTTCCCAGAAGGCTTTTGGCTTACTCAAGTACATTTTGGGCAAATGTAGTCTTGCTTTTTTATGTCTCTGTGTCAGCAGTGGGGTCCTCCTGGGTCTCCTGCCATAGCGTTTCATTTCATTTAAATGTCGACGGATAGTTCGCGCGCTGACACTGATGCTCCCTGAGCCTGCAGGACAGCTTGAATGTCTTTGGAACATGTTTGGGGCTGCTTATCCACCATCCGGACTATTCTGCGTTGCAATCTTTCATCAATTTTCCTCATCCGTCCACGACCAGGGAGATTAGCTACAGTGCCATGGGTTGCAAACTTCTTGATAATGTTGCGCACTGTGGACAAAGGCAAATCTAGTTCTCTGGATATTAAAATATGGACCTTGTAACCTTGAGATTGTTGATATTTTGCCACAATTTTGGTTCTCAGGTCCTCAGACAGTTCTCGTCTCCTCTTTCTGTTGTCCATGCTTAGTGTGGCACAGACAGACACACAATGCAAAGGTTAAGTGAACGTCTCTCCTTTTTATCTGCTTTCAGGTGTGATTTCTATATTGCCCACACCTGTTTACTTGCCCCAGGTGAGTTTACAGGAGCATCACATGCTTGTAACATTCTTATTTATCCGCAGTTGTGAAAGGGTGCCAATACTTTTGTCCAGCCCATTTTTGGAGGTTTGTGTGACATTTATGTCGAATTTGCTTTCTTTCCTCCCTTTTTTGTTTTGTCCCAATACACACAAAGGGAATAAACATGTGTATAGCAAAACATGTGTTAATGCAATACGTTTCGTGAGAAATACATGATTTCCTGGAGAAATATCAAGGGTGCCAACAATTTCGTTTCCTTGTGCATGACTGTATATATATATATATATATATATATATATATATATATATATATATATATATATATATATATAAATTTTATGTAGGCACAGTCCTCCTGCACTGCCAACCTAACTATAATGACACCCCCCCCAGAAACCTACTTACATTCCAAAATAGTGAGAACAGAGGCGGACTGACAACTCATGGGGCCCCATGATCCCTATTGCCCGGGGGCCCCACAAGTTGTCAGTCCACCTGTCCTTTCCCGAACTAAAAAAAAGCCTATGAAAAAGGTACCAGGGGCATCTCATGGGGCCCCCTACTGACCCCGGGGCCCTCAGGCAGTGCCTGAGTTTCCAAATAGTCAGTCCGCCCCTGAGTGAGAACAATAAGAGAAGTGAACTGGTGCTGCGCTGTGCTTCACTTTTCTAATAATGATTTTATGGACCCAACATTAAAACAAAGCCTATTATATTTGCCTACAGTCATGCTGTAAATAAACTGCATGCATACTGATATATTTGATATCTTCATAACTCGCTTCCCACAGCCGTAAAGAGCCACAATTTTAGGCAGCTGACTGATGAGATACTGTCTATCCACAACGGTCTCTTTCCTACATCTACTGTAATATATTCAGCATCATAGCAGAAACATTTTGCAAGCTCTATCTGAATGAAACATACTAAGAGGAACACAGGATCTGCCAGCTTTCTTCTCAGAATGCTAGCTTGCTTGGCCATAATGCTGACCTAATGGCTTCACTAGTTTCATTTTAATTAGAAATGTTTACATCAGTTGGACACAGTCTGCATCATATGTTTTTTAGCTATAAACAAAGTATCAATCTAGATGCGTACAATGAAAATAAGATACATTCCATAGCCCCTTAAATAAAGCAAGAGGCATATCATTTTTTGTAATACATCATTATATCATCTAATGTACAAAAATGTAAAACTGGTAGAATTAACGCGGTATGTAGCTCCCCAAACAATCTAACATTATTAAGTAAATAGTATTCAGAGTCTTGCAGGTGCCTTCAGAGAGGTGACAGGTAGTGAAAACGCACTATGTTGCCTCCTTACTGCCTTTTTCACACGAACGTTCCAATCAGGTACGCTTGTCCGTTTTGCAGATGGTCCCGAGCGTAGCCTCCATTCTCCTCACCAAAAACAGATGGATGGGGACTTGTTCCCCTTTCATCTAGTGCAGGGGGTCTCCAAACTTTCAAAATAAAAGGCCACTTTACTGTCCTTCAAACTTTGGGGGGGGGGGGGGGGGGCCAGATTGTGGCCAGTGGGTGAAGAAAGTGCCCCTGCGGCAGTGGGAGTAAACAATGCCCCATCATTGGTATTAGGGAAAGTAATAATTTCCCATCTGTGTTGTCAATGGGAGGAATAGTGCCCCCATCATTGGTATCAGTGGGGGGGGGAACAGTGCCCCCATCATTGGTATCAGTGGGGGGGAACAGAGCCCCCATCATTGGTATCAGTGGGGGGGGAACAATGCCCCCATCATTGGTATCAGTGGGGGGGAACAGTGCCCCCATCATTGGTATCAGTGGGGGGGGAACAGTGCCCCCATCATTGGTATCAGTGGGGGGGGAACAGTGCCCCCATCATTGGTGTGAGGGGGGAATAGTGCCCCCATCATTGGTGTGAGGGGGGAATAGTGCCCCCATCATTGGTGTGAGGGGGGAATAGTGCCCCCATCATTGGTATCAGTGGGACGAAGAGTGCCCCCATCATTGGTATCAGTGGGACGAAGAGTGCCCCCATCATTGGTATCAGTGGGACGAAGAGTGCCCCCATCATTGGTATCAGTGGGACGAAGAATGCCCCAATCATTGGTATCAGTGGGACGAAGAGTGCCCCCAACATTGGCATCAGTGGGACGAACAGTGCCCCAACATTGGCATCAGTGGGACGAATAGTGCCCCCAACATTGGCATCAGTGGGATGAATAGTGCCCCCAACATTGGCATCAGTGGGACGAATAGTGCCCCCAACACTGGCATCAGTGGGACGAATAGTGCCCCCAACACTGGCATCAGTGGGACGAATAGTGCCCCCAACATTGGCATCAGTGGGACGAATAGTGCCCCCAACATTGGCATCAGTGGGAGGAATAGTGCCCCCAACATTGGTATCAGTGGGAGGAATAGTGTCCCGTCATTGGTATCAGTGGGAGGAATAGTGCCCCGTCATTGGTACCAGTGGGAGGAATAGTGCCCCATCATTGGTATCAGTGGGAGGAATAGTGCCCCAACATTGGCATCAGTGGGGAGGAGGAATAGTGCCCCATCATTGGTATCAGTGGGACGAATAGTGCCCCAACATTGGCATCAGTGGGGAGGAGGAATAGTGCCCCATCATTGGTATCAGTGGGACGAATAGTGCCCCATCATTGGTATCAGTGGGACGAATAGTGCCCCATCATTGGTATCAGTGGGACGAATAGTGCCCCATCATTGGTATCAGTGGGACGAATAGTGCCCCATCATTGGTATCAGTGGGACGAATAGTGCCCCATCATTGGTATCAGTGGGACGAATAGTGCCCCATCATTGGTATCAGTGGGACGAATAGTGCCCCATCATTGGTATCAGTGGGACGAATAGTGCCCCATCATTGGTATCAGTGGGACGAATAGTGCCCCATCATTGGTATCAGTGGGACGAATAGTGCCCCATCATTGGTATCAGTAGGACGAATAGTGCCCCATCATTGGTATCAGTGGGACGAATATTGCCCCATCATTGGTATCAGTGGGACGAATAGTGCCCCATCATTGGTATCAGTGGGACGAATAGTGCCCCAACATTGGCATAAGTGGGACGAATAGTGCCCCAACATTGGCATCAGTGGGACGAATAGTGCCCCAACATTGGCATCAGTGCAAGGACTAGCGCCCCATTGTTGGCGTCAGTGGCATGAACTGTGCTCTACTGTTGCGGACAATGGGGGGGGGGGGGGGGAATAATACCCCAGGGGCCAGGTAAAAGCAAGCAAAGGGCCACAGTTTGGAGACCACTGATTAGGGGATCAGATTGGATGGCAGTTGGATGTCAACGGAGAGGAGGTCTGTTTACATCCGACTGCCCATAGAGGACTGTATCTGCATAAGTGGAGCAGACATGGACCTGTCATCTACTTGCTCAGCGGGCATCAACAGACAGATCACTTGCTGAACAAGCGGATTGCAAGAGGATTCCGCCCCATGCGAAAAAGGCCTCAACTCCTAAAAAGCTGTACCACTTTACTGCAACCACATGCATTGCACATGTTACAGTGCAAACCTATTCAGTGGAAGTGGTCTGGTTTGGCAGGTGGTACTGCCCAATAGATGAATACATCACTACAAATAGGTCCACTATGCCCACTAACAATCCTGATACCAGGTGCAAGCCCGGTTCGCAACCAAGGAATCCTGTGAATCAAAATGAATTACTATATGGGGGATGAATTATTATATGGGGGATGAATTACTCTATGGGGGATGAATTACTCTATGGGGGATGAATTACTCTATGGGGGATGAATTACTCTATGGGGGATGAATTACTCTATGGGGGATGAATTACTCTATGGGGGATGAATTACTATGCTTACTATGGGGGAATATTACTATACTTACTATGGATGACACATACACATCATTCATCTACTCTTGGTCCGGCCCCCGGGTCCAATATATAAACCCATTGCGGCCCTCAAGTCAAAAAGTTTGCCCACCCTTGCTTTAAAGTGTCAGTTCACCTTTACAGAAAAAAATCTAAAAAGGTGAATCAACACCGGACACCCTCCCCACCCCCTGGTCCCAGCTGTACCTATCTCCAAAGACTGTCAAGCTATCAACTACCCCGCAGTTACTCGAGTGGTCCGATAATTTGAAATTCCCACTCTCCTTCCTCTTATCTGTGCTGTGCTTCTGGGTCAGGCAAGATTGATTCTGATCGGCCAGCGCCGTCACACTGAATCAATCTGGTCCCTCCCGGGAATACTGCACAGAGAACAGGGGGAAAGAGCAGGATTTCGAATTCCCAGACCATTGGAGCAGCTGTAGGGGTGCTGACAGCTCAGCAACCCTGGAGGTTAGTACAGCAGGCACTAAGGGGTGGGAGGGCGTCTGGTGTTAGTTCATCTTTACATGTTTTCTGGTGCGCTAACCCTTTAAGAGGACAAAGACCTTTTTAGATCTACTTCCAGTGTGGGGACACCTGTATTTAAAAACATTGAAGAATCGCTGAAAGGTAAGAAAGTTCATAGCAATGCAAAAAAATGCCCAGAGTTTAACTTTAATTTCAATGCTTCCTTCTCCTCTTCTGACAGCCTACGCAGAAGCTGCAGTCAGGATTTGACAACTCAGAACCCAGAAGCATGGAGAGCGGAGTGCTTCCGAGCTCATACAGCCTAGGAGGGGCTCAGTAAATGAGACTGTCATTTCTCCTGACAAAGGAACAGTGGACTACATCTATTTGTTGTAGGACATTCATAGTTCATGTGACTGGCTCACAATGAGGGAACCACATGGGAAAAATGAGACAGCTTCTGATCACCCTATAACAGACATAATGGTGCAAGGATATTCACATTATAGGGTTGTCCAAGTGTGGGCCTCTTTCTTTAATTTTAGGAATGTCTGTGGTCTGTATCCCCCCCCCCCCCCAATCCCACCCCCCTGAGGGTCAGGAACCTGCACTGCCATATAAAATAAGAAATGTCATCAATGTTCCCGTCTTCTCTGACAACCCTATGATGATGTTTTTACGCCTGATCTCACCATGCGCTGTGCAAGACCAAGTATGGTTTAGTATTGCTTATACATTGCCATGGTAGGAATGTGGGGCTCAGCACAACTGACGCTCACATTGCTTTAGCCACAGCAAAATACCTGGATAAATAGTAAAAAAAAAAAAAAAAAAAAGTTTATTTTCCCCAAGATCTCACAATTTATAACAGATCTTCCTGGAAGGTACTGGTAACATAGCCTTCCCAGGGGTCATCTGTGATATTGGGATGTTGTTAGATCACAATGCAGAGCTGCATACACCACAGCTTTTTGGGTTAGTGATCGGTCTTACCTCTATTTTAATGTCTGCATTAACAAAAGCATCTAAAAGGATCAGGGAGCACCTACCACAAACAGGGTAGTGCTTTTCATTGTCTTCTTAATAACTGTGGGGGAAAAAGGGGGGGGTAAGCTGTCTTATCTATTTTGTTACTTTTGCAACAGAACACTGGATGAAATGGACACAAAATTACCTTGTATTGGGCTCATAAAAGGACTGCGCAAAAAGGCAGCAGAAGCCCCTGGGTAGAAAGCCCAGCATTAGCAATGCATAGCAAACCTTGCACTACTAGCACAGTGGCTTAGTGGTTAGCACTTCTGATTCTCAGCAGTAGGATCCGTGGTTCAAATCCAAACAAGGACACCATCTGCATGGAGTTTGCGTGTTCTCTCTGTGCTTGATGGGTTCCCTTCCAAGACATGCTGGAAGGATAATTGGCCAAAGTGTGTATGGAAGATAGGGCACATTAGCAGTTGGGGGGCAGTAAAACGTCTTAGTTGAGCGGCATTTTCACCAATCCCTCTTTAGAAGTAGAGGCAGCAGCTGGGGGGTATACATGCTGCAAGTGTGATGCTATGCTTTACGGCCACAGCAGGAAATGCACCCTCTGTTGCTCTCAGCAGGCAAAGCGCCGACCGAGACCCCTTTAGGTGAACAGTGCTCTTTTCTCCCTATCTCTCTATTTTTGTCTCTCTCTCCGTCTTCTCACTATGTAGCGGTTAAAGCAGGCAGTGAGGATGTAATACAACCTCTGCTCAATGCCTGTGAATTGCTCTCTGAAAAGCAACACAAACACATATTGCTCTTCAGAGACCAAAGCAAGTAAGAACAAGCCCTAAGAGTGTAAGCAGAGACTGATGTAAAGTGTAAAATATTAAAGCAGCTGATAATATTAATGCAAATGATTGGCTGCTGTGCCTGCGCAAACACACCAGCATGAACCCTCTACAGTGTGAGCCTAGCCTAAACCCCATAGATGAGTTAGTGGTGCATTTTAAAAGGCAATAAAGGGGGGTGCCAAGGCTAATGTACCGGTGTGCCGTGCAGACAATCAAAACAAATACAGCCAGTAAGACATTGGTGTGGGTGGGTGTTGAACACAGACCGGGTGAGCTTTGGGGGGGGGGGGGGGGGGGGTACATGCACCCACACTGATGTCATATTATTGGGACACAGCGATTGTGTCAGTGCAAGCCACTGGGTCCTGACTGACATGAATGGGCCTGCCGATACGGGGGATGCAAGGAACACCTGTGCATCCCTGTACTGGTAAACACGGCCTTACATAGGCATGCGGTAGAATACACCGTGTGAATGAAGCCTAAGCACCACCTGGGGAACACTGCTGGCAATGCAAGGCACCACCAATGCTGCCGTATGTACTGCTCCACCGGCTCCCTGATTTCACAAATGTAAGTGACATGGACAGGAAGTCAGGAAGCAGTAAAAACGCAACTCTGCCGCCTATTTTTACCACCTGTGTGACAGCGGCCTAATAAATAAATGTGTGGAGGGGGTGACGCTGCACTTTTATAACCTTTGCCCCCTGTGGGAGGTCAGGGTGTCCAGGAATTCTGAACTAGGATTAGAAGTCCTGACACTTCAGAACAGTCCTATCTTCAGCATATCTCCTGCATAGCCCCCCACTTCCACTAGGTGGTACAGAAGGCAGCCAGACAAAGGCTTGTCCAGTCCTTAAACCATTAGACAGGCCAGCAAAGCACACTGCAGTCCTGCCGCGCATGCGCGGTTTTAGCAAACAGACCGTTCCTATAGCGCATGCGCAAAACCCAGACAGTCCCATAAAGGGATCGCAGTTTCGCAGATAAACCCATCCCCGTGACTCCAATTCAGCCAGCAGCGGCCAAGGGACTGAAACGATAAGCCCGTCTTTACCTGCAGGATATTCAACGTGCGTGAGGGAAACTGGGCGCCATTGAGCTGAGAGCGAGCACTGTTCTACTGCCGCCATCTTACCCGGATACCGGGCGTTTGGAAACAGCCAATGGTGAAGCAGGAAGAGGCGCCGGCCAATGGGAGGAAAAACACAGCAGACACGTCGGAAGGAGCCAATGGCAAAGCAGAACAGGTAGCGGCTGCGCCCAATAGCGACGCTATCAAGGAGAGAGGGAGGAAGCTGGAGCGTATATGCCAGTGTGTCAGCCAATCCGAGGGATGAGCTCTAATGCAATAGCCAATCGGGTTTGGCAGAACTTGTTTCGGCGAACGCCCGACCTGTGGTAGACTGAGTTTAGGGTAGCGGCCAGTTCCTATGCAGTAGAGTGTTGGTGACGTGAGGTCACGTGTGCGGGCTCCATACTGTCTTCTGTGCAGTGTGCGACCTCCTGAAGGAATGTGAGCGGGAGAATTCGAATGTCAAACCGTGTTAGTGTGCTATAAATAAAGAGTAAGTGTCACACTGACTCCTAATGGAGGGAAGTCCACAATTATTCAGAAACAGCTGAGCGGATAGTGTGAGGAAGACATTCAATGAAGCATTTGGAACAGCAGATTTCTTTTTGAGCTGCTTTCACAATGTATCACCATGGTGGTGGCAAATTCCACCATAATTACCGCCAATTTCACTGCTTCTTGCTCAGGGCTTGCTAGTTACTAGGATGCTGGCAGGTGCTGGAGTCCTAGCAACCAAACATGGATCCCAGGCCCTATTAAGCTTAGATATTACCCAAACTACTGCAGAATGTAAACAAGGTATACTGGGTGGTGTCATTAAAGCAGAACTTCACCAAAAGCAAGGTCTGCCTTCCAGGTGGCTCTACCACCCAAACTTCTCTTCCGGGTGCGAGCATATGGTGCCTACACAAATGTACCCAGGGAAGCATGAGACAAGGAAACGACAAAGTGACCTAAGCAGGAAAACATAGGAACTGGGGTGTAGAAAAATGGCAGCAGGTGGTCAGGATGAGTCAAAATCTGAAATATCTGGCTGTAGCAGGAGGCAGTTTGTTCACTGAAGGGCTGGGAAGTGGCACAATAATGAGGGTCTGCAGCAGTAAAGCATGGTGGAGGTTCCTTGCAAATTTGGGGTTGCATTTCTGCAAATGGAGTTGGAGATCTGATCAGGCTCAGTGGTGTCCTCAGTGCTGAGAAATACAGGCAGATAATTATCCATCATGTCATACCATCAGGGAGGCGTGTGATTGGCATCAAATTTATTCTCCAGCAGGATAACGACCCCCAAACATACAGCCAATGTCATTAAGAACTATCTTCAATGTAAAGAACAGGGAGTCCTGGAAGTGATGGTTTGGCCCCCACAGAGCCCTGAGCTCCACATTATGAAGTCTGTCTAGATTTACATAAAGAGACAGAAGGATCTGAGGCAGTCTACAATCATAGAAGATCTGTGATTAGTTCTCCAACATATTTGGAACAACCTACCTGCCGAGTTCCTTCAAAAACTGTGTGCAAATATACATAGAAGAATTGATGCTGTTTTGAAGGCAAAGGGTGGTCACACCAGAAATTAATTTGATTTGGATTCCTCCTCTGTTCCATTCTATGCATGAAGATAAAAAACCTTTTGTGTGCAGCAGCTCCCCTCTAATACTTACCCAAGCCCCACTGCGATTCAGCGATGTGCAGGAGAGCCTTGGCTCTCCAGGGACTCTTGCTCCTCATTGGCTGAGACAGCAGTGGAAGTCGTTGGCCCCGACTGCTGTCAGTCACAGCCAGTGACACAATGAGGAGAGAAGGGGCAGGGCCAAGCCACAGCTCTGTGTGTGAATGGACACCCTTGCTCTGGGGGCAGGAGGCAGGTGCCGGTGGAGGACCTGAGAAGAGAAGGATCAGGACTGCTCTTTTTATAATTCATTTATTTTTTTTAATTGCCTCTTCTCAAGAGAGAATACATTTAGTTCCTCTATTCTTTCCTCATAGCTGATCTCCTCCATGCCTCTTATCAGTTTGGTTGCCCTTCTCTGCATTTTTTTTCTCCAGTTCCCCAATGTTTCTTTTTGTGAATTGGTTCCCAAAACTGAACTTCATATTCCAGATGAGGTCTTACTAATGATTTGTATCGGGGTAATATGATATCTCTCTCTCTGGAGTCTATACCTCTTTTAATACAAGAGAGGATTTTACTTGCTTTAGAAACCGCAGCTTGGCATTGCATGCCATTATTAACCCCTGTACGCCGGCCGCACACAAATGTGCGGCCTCACGGCGTCTGGGCCTAGACGCCGAGCGGTCCCCGCACATTTGCGTTCACGTAAGAGAAAACGCGCTGAGAGCGCGCTCCCTGCGCACTCCCAGCACACGTCCTGTACTCACAGAAAGGTCCTGGTCTGCTCTTTCGATCGGGACCTTTCCCTGATCATGTGACGACACGTCACGGCGGTCACATGATCCCTAAACCACGCCCCGCCTCCCGGCGTCTGAAACTCTTAAAGGGCCGGGAGGCACCGGCGGGAAGGGGTTAAGCTTTGTGATCTACCAGAACTCCCAGATCCTTCTCCACCATTGATTCCCCCAGTTGTACCCCCCCTAGTATGTATGATGCATGCATATTCTTAGCCCCCAAGTGCATAACCTTACATTTATCAACATTAAACCTCATTTCCCACATAGTTGCCCAATTAAACAGTGCATTGAGGTCAGCTTGTAAATTGGAGACATCCTGTAAGGACGTTATTCCACTGCACAGCTTGGTGTCATCTGCAAAGACTGAAATGGTACTTTACTCTCAGACCCTATATCGTTTATAAATATATTAAAATGTAAGGGTCCCAACACTGAACCTGGGTACACCACTGATGACCCTAGACCATTCAGAGTATGAATCCTTAACCACTACTCTCTGAATACCATCTTTTAGCCAGTTTTCTCTCTTTTTACAAACTTAATTTTCCAAGCCTGTAGACTTTACCTTACACATTAGCCGTGTGTGGGGAACTGTGTCAAACACTTTTGCAAAATCCAAGTAAACCACGTCCACAGCCTCTCCTATGTCTAAGTTTTTGCTTACCTCATAAAAAGAACACAGATTTGACAACTTTGGTCTTTCATGAACACATGCTGCCTATTGCTTAAAATATTGTTTTTCTAGCAAAAACATCTTTGTAGTAGAACAGGGTTAAACTAACCAGTCTATAGTTACTTGTTAAAGACTTTGATCCCTTTTTTTAATTGTTTATTTAGGGCATTGTGTGATTATACATAGCAAAAACCGGTGCACTTTAGTCCAAAAAAAGTAAATGTATGAAATTATTTGATGTAATATACATATGGGCAACAATAGAGTGTATAAGTTCAACTTACAATGTTATTGCAATTACATGTAATATGGAAAGGCTTTATTTAATAATTTTTTAAATGGAGAACGCATACAGTGGGTATAGAAAATAATTACCCCCTTTAACCACTTCCCGACCGGCCGTTGTATATAAACGGCCGGACGGTGGCACTGCAGGGTCGGGTGGCCGTCTATAAACGGCCTCCCCGCACCCTGCTTGTGCGCGCTCCCTGGGACACTCCGGACACAGTGAAACACCGATCGTCGGACGGGACCTCTGTACGAGGTCCCGATCATGTGATCACTGATTGGCCAATCAGTGATCACATGCAAAGTAGTAAGCAAGATGTCACTTCTGACATCATTGCTTACTATGTGTGAAATCTGTGAATGATCACAGAGGTCACATGGTACAAGGCTATTCACAACAGCCTTGTACCATGTGACAAGCTCTGACCAATCACAGCTCACTCTGTATTTCTCAATGAGTGCAGGAATGCACACAGAGAGAAAGAGAAATTATTGCTTTTACATCCTATATGGGTGTAAAAGCAATCAGTGTAAAAAAAAAAAAAAAAAATCTTTATCACCCCTCACAAGTAGTACAGTGTCACCATGGTGACACTGTACTGCTAGGGTGACAGTATGTAAAAAAAAAATAAATAAAAAATAATAATATAAAAATATATAAAAAAAAATGTTTAAAAATTATAATTTTTGCTTATAAACTAATTTGGATTTTTTTTTTTTAATTAAAAAGATAACGGAATAAATGTTGGCTAAGATTTATGATGAAATATTATTTATTTGCAAAATTTTATAAAAAACCACTTTTTTAAAAAATTTTTTGGACATTTCATTTACATAGCAAAAAAAATACAAATTCCAGTGGTGAATAAATACCACCAAAATAAAGCTTTATCTAAAAAAAAAATGGTAAAAAATTCATTTGGGTACAGTGTTGCATGACCGCGCAATTGTCATTCAAAGTGTGATAGCGCTAAAAGCTGAAAATTGCCCTGGTCAGGAAGGGGGTAAAAGTGTCCGGTCTGGAAGTGGTTAAAATAATCACATTTTGTTGCTTTTCAGCCTGAAATAAAGACACACAGTTGTCTGTATTTAGTCAGTCTAACTTACAACATCCAAGTGAAAGATATAACACCAACATGTCAGAAAATAATTCATAAAACAGAATCGGATCAAGTTGGAAAAAGGATCACCCCTTTGTGTCAGTATTTTGTTGAACCACCTTTTTGTTTTAATTCCAGCCTTTAGTCTGTTGGGATATGTCTCTACTAACTTTGCACATCTAGACTTTGCAATATTTGCCCACTTACCTTTGCAGAACTATTCAAGCTCCGTTAAATTTGATGGTGACCGTTTGTGGACTGCAGTCTTCAAGTCATTCCACAGATTTTCAATGGAGTTTACATCCTGACTAGGCCATGCAAGGACATTCACCTTTTTCTCCTTTAGCCACTATGTGGTCATTTTTGCTGTGTGCTTTGGGTCATTGTCATGTTGGAAGGCAAACCTTCTTCCAACTGACATATATTTGGCAGAGAGCAGCAGATGTTTCCCAAGAAATTTGACAGTTTTTTGCCCCATCCATTTTTCCTTCTTCCTTCAGGACAAGTGCTCCAGTCCCTGCTGCAGAAAACCCCCACCATAACAGGATATTACCACCCCTATGCTTTACTGTAGGAATGTTATTTGGATAGTGAGCTGCCAGACATATCATTTAATGTTGAGGCCACATATACTATATTGCCAAAAGTATTGGGACACCCCTCCAAATCATTGGATTCAGGTTCCAATCACTTCCATGACCACAGGTGTATAAAATCAAGCACCTAGGCATGCAGACTGCCTCTACAAACATTTGTGAAAGAATGGGTCGCTCTCAGGAGCTCAGTGAATTCAAGGGTGGTCCCGTGATAGGTTGCCACCTGTGCAATAAGTCCATCCATGAAATTTGCTTGCTACTAAATATTCTACAGTCAGCTGTTAGTGATATTATAACAAACTGGAAGCAACTGGGAACAACAACTCAGCCACAATGTGATAGGCCACATAAAATGACAGAGAGGGGTCAGCCAACTGTCTGCAGAGTTAATAGCTAAAGACCTCCAAACTTTGTGTGGCCTTCCGATTAGCACAACAGTGTGTAGAGAGTTTCATGGAATTTCCATGGCCATCCAAGCCTTACATCACCAAGTGCAATGCAAAGCATTGGATGCAGTGGTGTAAAGCCACTGGACTATAGAGCAGTGGAGATGTGTACTCTGGAGTGACAAATCTGGCTTCTGTGTCTGAAAATCCAGTGGACGTGTCTGGGTTTGGCAGTTGCCAGGAGAACAGTACTTGCCTAACTGCATTGTGCCAAGTGTAAAGTTTGGTGGAGGGGGGATTATGGTGTGGGGTTGTTTTTCAGGGGTTGGGGTTGTGCTTGGCCCCTTAGTTCTAGCGAAGGGAACTCTTAAGATGTCAGCATACCAAGACATTTTGGACAATTTCATGCTCCCAACTTTGTGGGAACAGTGTGGGGATGGCCTCTACTTATTCCAACATGACTGCACACCAGTGCACAAAGCAAGGTCCATAGAGACATGGATGAGCGAGTTTGGGGTGGAGGAACTTCACTGGCCTGCACAAAGTCCTGACCTTAACCCAATAGAACACCTTTGGGATGAATTACAGCGGAGACTGTGAGCCAGGCCTTCTCGTCCAACATCAATGCCTGACCTCACAAATGCGCTTTTGGAAGAATAGTCAAACATTCCCATAGATACACTCCTAAACCTTGTGAACAGACTTTTTTTTTGTAATTTAACTTTTATTTGATTTTCCAACCAAAAAACAACATTTTTACAAAAATTCTCATATACCCATTCAATTATTTCCCCCAACACCCCTCCCACACCCTTCCCCTATCCACATCCTCTTCCTGACTTTTATATCCTTTCTCAGGTTTATCTACTTGTCTCTTTATCTCCAACATTGCTCTCCTTCAAGCTCACAATTAAGATCCCCTCCTGGTTTCTAATTATCTCCAAGGTGATGTGTCTACTTGTTGTCTATGGGCTATATTTGGTGTAATATACCATCTGGTTAAACATTTATAGTTCATCTCCACTGTGCTCATATTTGTCACCTCGTGTTAATTTAAAAACTTTTTCATTCCATTGCTGTATACTCAATTCTGTTCCAATCTTTTTCACATTTTTTCAAGAACCCCTGGAGGATCAGTTCCTTCTATAGCCATTAGGATCTTAAAAATCCTAAAAGTAATATGTTTTGGGATTATTTTTTAATTTAACGGTTTTTCAAATGGATACATGTCCTTCGACGTCCTCAATGGTTGAGGGAGACTTGAAACAAAGTGATTTAATTGATAATACCTCCACTCAAATGTGATAAATAAATCTTTTTTTCTTCTTTAAATTTTGAAAAGTATGTATTTCCCTTCATTCAATATATCTTTCAAATGTGCATTCTTATCCTTTAACCATTTCCCAAATATATTATCCTTCCCCCGGGGGAGAAATATTCAATTCCCTCCAAAGGAGTCAATATTGAATTATATTTCCATCCTTTTTACTATGCATTTTATCCCATACACTTAAAACTTTCCTTGTCAGTGAACTAATATTAGCATCCAATGTGCGAAATTTATGTGGAATCCATACAATCTTTTCTAATTGTGCCTTACTTAAAATCCCTTCTATCTTCACCCATCCTTTCCCTTGTGAATCAAATGTCCAGTCTACTATTCGTGATAAAATTACTGCTAAATAATAATTCCTTACATTAGGTAAGCCCAGACCCCCTTTTCCTTTCTCTCTACTCAAGACTTCGTAACTGATTCTTGGTTTCTTATTTGCCCATACAAATTTAGTAATCATCTTTTTTATTATCCCAAAAAATGATCCTGGGAGGTGAACTGGAAGCATATGACACTTATACAAAATTTTTGGCATTATCACCATCTTTACCAAATTTATACGTCCTATCCAAGAAGCTCCTCCCTTTGAAAGTCTCTTTAGTTCTTCCTTGATCTCATTTATTCGGGGGATATAATTTGCCTGATGTATATCCTTTATTTTGGGGGTCAATTTTACTCCCAAATATCCTATTGCCTTTTCCCTCCATATAAATGGGAACTCTTTTTGCAGGCTTCTCTGACCTTGGGATATTGATATTTAATATTTCTGATTTTACCAACTTTATTTTCAGGTTTGCTAGCTCACCGTACTGTTTTAATACTTTCATTAAATTAGGCAACATTATTCTAGGTTTCACAATATAAAACAACATATCATCTGCATATGCGGCCATTTTATGTTCTATGTCACCTATTTTTATTCCCGCTATATCTACACACTTCCTTACTTTCGCTAGAACAGGTTCCAACGAAAATACGAACAATAATGGAGAGAGGGGACATCTCTGCCTAGTACCATTATACATTCTAAAAAACCTCGAGAGTGATCCATTAACCTTCACCGCCGCTGACAGGTTGTTATACAGCCCTTTTATCCATTTTAGCATTTTAGGGCCTATTCCTATAGCCTCTAGTGTGCCAAACATAAATCCCCAATTAACGCTATCAAAAGCCTTTTCGACATCAATCGATAGGGGTATTGCCGGCTCTTTCTCTCTCTTAGCTCTTTGTACTAGTATAAGGGATCTCAACCCATTATCCCTACCCTCTCTTCCCGGTACAAAACACACCTGATCTAGATGTATCCATTCTGGCAACAGATTCTTCAATCTCATTGCCAACACCTTAGCATATAATTTAGTGTCTACATTTAATAAAGATATAGGCCTATAACTGGCGCACTGCGTACTATCCTTCCCTTCTTTAAGAATAATCGTTATATGAGCTTGCAATGACTCCTCTCTCATTTCCTACTCCTCCCCCAGTGTGTTCATATACCTACACATTTTAGGGATAAGAAGATCTTTAAATTTTTTATAATATCCTACTGTATATCCATCCAGCCCCGGGCTTTTACCTCCCCCTGTCTTCTTTAAAGCGAAGTTAATTTCCTACGGAGAAATGGGTCTTTCAAGGGTCTCTAGTTTTTCTTGCGCTAATTGTGGTAGCTCAGCCTCACTTAAATATTTCTTACTAATTCTTTTCTTTTCCTCTTCCCTTTCCTTTTGATAACCACAGCTCACATTATAAAGTTCACTATAATATCTTTGGAACCTATTGGCGATATCAGAAGTAACGTGTAATATTTATCCTTTTTTTCATCTCTCATTTTTTCTATGAAATTTTTTGATTTCTTATTCTTTAACCATCTCATTAAATATTTAGCCGGTCTATTCCCAAACTGGTACCTTTTTTCATTTGAAACTCTGTGGAATATCTTCCTCGACTCTAGTTCCATAACATCTTTTAACTCCTCGCTTTTGAGTATTATCTTCTGGTATATATCTATTTCTCCCTTTTTCTTCTTATGTACCTGTTCCAACTTATAAAGCTCTTCCATCACCATCTTTATTTTTTTTCCCTCGTTCCTTCTGTTGCTCTGTTCCTGCTGAAATCAATATTCCCCTGATATGTGCTTTGTGTCTCCCAAACTATAGCCTCAGAGACCTCGTTAGTTTCATTAACCTCGAAGAATTATTCAATTTCTCACCTTAGCCTTTTCTCTACTTTGGGATTCTGTATGCATTTCATTTAATCGCCACTTAGTTGTTCTATCTTGCCCTCTTCCTACTCATAATCTTGTTGTGACAGGAGCATGATTGGATATAGATATTACCTCTATGTTGGAGCTTACCAATGACTCCAACTGTCTATGTTCTATAATTATATAATCCAGTCTTGAATACGAACCATGTACATGAGAGAAGAAGGTATAGTCTCTTTCTCTTGGGTTTTTCACTCTCCACGTGTCCACCAATTGGTTTTTATATAATAATCTCTTCAGTAATTTCAACTTCCTACCCTCTTCCCTCTGTGCACCTGACGACGATGCATCCAATCTAGGATCTAAACACAGATTAAAATCTCCTGCCACAACCAGACTACCCTTTTTTAAATTCAGAGAGTTTTTTTTAACATCCCCTCTAAGAATATCACTGGATTTTTAGTTGGACAATATATATTAGCTACTGTAAATTCCAAACCCTGTAACTTTCCCCTGAGAAATAGGAACCTGCCCTCTGGGTCTTCCATTCTATCTTCCAGGGAAAAATTCACATTTTTTTGAAAACCCACTTGCCACCCCTTTGGCTCCTTTTAATTGGTGAGTCAGCATAATACCACTCTGGAATAAATTTTTAATATAATTTAATATTTGTATCTCGGGTTAAATGTGTTTCTTGGAGAAATACTACTTCTATAGAGTGTTGATGGATTTCCCTGAGTATCTTATGTCTTTTTATCGGGGAGTTCAGCCCTTTCATATTATGTCATAAAGTTAATCAAGCTCATTTCTATTATAGTTACGTTGCTCTGCTGACTTTCCTTCAAGAGAACACTGATACATACAGTTTAGGATATGGACATTCTTCCTTCTCTTCCCATAGCAATCCATTACCCCACCTCTCCTTAAACCCCCCCCTCTCCCTCCCCCAAACCCATGGGCCTAATTTTTGCCCTTGAATTTGTCGTGTGACCTTCCCACTGGTGATTCCCATAATGGGGTGGAACTCTAAACATGCATGCCCACTCTGCCCCCCCTCTTGCCACATAGGGGATCTAGAGTTTGGGCAGCGCTTAAGCCTCCAGGCTGCTCGCCCTTATCTAATCAACATTACTTAATTCCTGCTGTATCTCTAACCCCCCCCTAATTCTCCCTATATGGGCTCACAGCCTCGGCATGAAAGAGGAGAGGTGGAGGAGGGATTGGCAGGAGAGGAAAAAAAAAAAAAACACTCCACTCATTCTTCTCACCACCTTCACCTCCTCCATCCCTCTATCCCATGTCGAATTACCTTCTTCTTTTATTTATCATCTGCCACCTCTCCTTTCCTGGCCTTAAACACTCAGTAGACCCTTCTGACCACCCCACAATGTCCACTTCCTGTAACTCTAATTTTCTGCAAAAGTCACTGAATTCTTCTGGGAATCTTAATCTTGCCGATTTCCCATCTCTCCAGCCAATTAGGCAGGCCTGGAAACCCCAGTTATATCGAATCTTTCTCTCCTTCATCTGTTCCAGTAACGGTTTCAGTGATCTTCTCCTAGCTAACGTCGCAGATGAAATGTCAGCAAATATTTGTATCTTTTTATTTCCAAATTTTATTTCAGGGGTCTCTCTGAGCTTTTTCCAAATTTTTTCTCTGTCCTCATAGTTGTGGAAATGGACTATCACATCTCTAGACAAATCAGCTGACACTCCTTGCGGTCTCCTTATCCTATGAATTCTC